GAGACACTGCTGCTTTTGGAGGACAGGCATGCTCCCTCGGTCCTGCGGGGACCCAACACAGAGGTGGCAGTTTGAAAGATTTACCAGTAGGATTTGGATTATCTGGGCACCACAGGACACCTTCTTCATAAAGCCATTACTCTCCAGACCAGGAAGCATAGCTGATCTATCTAATACAAAGGAAGAAACCCAGAAACCCAAACAATATGAGGAGGCAGAGGAATATGTTTCAAACAAAAGAACAGGATAAGACACCACAGAGACGGCTAGATGAAACAAAGATCACCAATCTTCTTGATAAAGATTTCAAAGTAACAGTCATAAATATGCTCACTGACCTGCAGAAAATAATTGGTGATCTCAGTGCGAACTTCAACAAAGAGACAGAAAATTTCAAAAAGAGCTACTCAGAGCTGAAGAATACAGTAATTGAAGTGAAAAATACAATGGTGGGCATAGATGAACAATAGACTGCTGCAAGTAGAGGAGGCAATCGATGAGATGGAAATTAGAGAATAGGAAAACAATGAAGTGAGGACCAGAGAGAAAAGGGAATCTCTAGAAACAATAGGATGCTAAGAGAGCTGAATGATAACTCCAAATGAAACAATATTTGCATAATAGGGGTGCTAGAAGAAGAAGAGAGAGACGAAGAGTTAGAAAGGCTCTTTGAGGAAATAAAATTGTTGAAAACTTCTCCAATCTGGCAAAAGAAATAGACACTCAGGTCATGGAATCACAGAGAGCCACTAACAAAAAGAATCCCTGGAATTCAATGCCCAGGAATACAATGTAAAATAAGTAAAATGAAAAAAATTAAGGATAATGAAAGAGTATTGAAAGCAGCCAGAGAGGAAAAAAAATGATTACTTATAAGGGAAATCCCATCAGGTTCTCAGCAGGTTCTCAGCACAGATTTACAGGCCAGAAGGGAGTGGTATGAAATATTTAATGTATTGGAACAGAAGAGCCTTCAACTAAGAATCCTCTACCCAGCAAGATTATCATTCAAATTTGAAGGAGAGATTAATCATTTCACAGATAAACATAGGCTGAAGGAATTTATAACCACTAAACTGGCATTATATGATATGTTGAAGGGACTGTTGTATAAGGAAATGTTCCTAAGGCTAAATAGTTTTCATCAGTCAAAAACACACAGGAAAGATAGTAGACCAATTACTTACCAAACAAGCATGACATTAAAACAAAACAAAAAGCAACTGCACAAAAAATCAGTCAAGAGACACAAAAAATGCAGATTATGACATCTAAAAAAGTGTGGAGGAAGAAAAAAGAAGTACTTTTAGATTACATTTCAAACACAGCAATCATCAACTTAATATATACTTAGAAAACCACAGATGAACCTTATGGTAACCACAAACCTAATGCCTATAACAGATACACAAAAAAAATTTTTTTAAAGGAATCCAAGGGTAACACTAAAGAAAACCATTAAATAACAAGAGAATAGTGTAAGAGGAAGAAAGGAACAGAGAGGAACTACAAAAATAACCAGAAAATAATTAATAAAACAGAAATAAACACATATGTATCAATAATTACCTTAAATGTAAATGGACTAAATATATCAATCAAAAGAAATAGGGTGGCAGAATGGATAAAGAAACAAGACCCATCTATATGCTGCCTACAAGAAACTCATTTCAGACCTAAAGACACACATAGACTGAAAATGAAGGGATGGAAAAAGATATTTCATGCTAATAAAAGGAAGAAAAAGACAGGAGTAGCAGTACATATATCAGACAAAATAGACTTCAAAACAATGAAAGTAACAGGAGCCAATGAAGGACATTGCATAATGATAAGGGATCAGTCCAACAAGAGGATATAATAATTATAAATACCTATGCATCCAATATAGGAGCACCTAGATATGTAAAACAAAAACTGAGAGAATTAAAGGGGGAAGTAGACTGGATCTCATTCATATTAGGATACTTTAACACACCACATCAATTGAGCAACCAGATACAAAATAAATAAGGAAATAGAGGCACTGAACAACACATTAGATCAGAGGGACTTAACATACATCTACAGAACATTCCACCCAAAAGCAGAGGGATACACATTTTTCTCCAGTGGCCATGGAATATTCTCCACAATAAACCACATATCAGGACACAAAAAGAACCTCAATAAATTAAAAAAGATTGAAATTGTATCATGCATCTTTTTAGATCACAATGGTATGAAACTAGAAATAAATCACATGAAGGAAACAAAAAAAACCCACAAACACATGGAGGCTAAATAACATGCTTCTAAATAATCAATAGATCAGAGAACAAATCAAAGAAGAAATCAAGCAATACATGGAGACAAATGAAAACAAGAATACAACAGTTCAAATATGTGGGATGCTACAAAACTGGGTCTGAGATGGAAGTACACAGCAATACAGGCCCACCTCAAGAAACAAGAAAAATCCCAAACAGTCTAAACTCACAGCTAAAGAAACTAGAAAAAGAAGAACAAAGGAAACCCAAAGTTAGTACAAGGAAGAACGTAATAAAGATCAGAGCAGAAATAAATAAAATAGGCAAGAATGAAACAATAGATAAAATCAATGAAACCAAGAGCTGGTTCTTTGAGAAGATAAACAAAATAGAGAAACCCCTAACCAGACTTACCAAGAAAAAAAGAGTACACACATAAACAAAATCGAAATGAAGAAGGAATAGTTACAACTGACACCACAGAAATACAAAGAATTATCAGAGAATTATATGAAAAAAAATGTATGCCAATAAATAGGACAACCTAGAAGAAATGAACAAATTCCTAGAAAAGTACAATCTTCTAAGACTGACGTAGGAAGAAGCAGGAAATCTGGACAGACCAATTAATTACCAGTAACAAAATTGAATTAGTAATAAAAAAACTCCCAACAAACAAAAGTTCAGGACCAGATGGCTTCACAGCTGAATTCTACCAAACATTTAAAGAAGAGCTGATAACCCATCCTTCTTAAAGCATTCCAGAAAGTGGAAGAGGAGGGAATAGTTCCAAACTAATTCTACAACTATTTTTTTTATACTTAGTCACTAATGTCTGAGATTTTGAAACAATACGTATGGAACCCACTATCTCTTTCTTTTCTTGGTTGATGAAAAGAATTTTGAAATTTCTTGTGACATTGTATCCATTCTAATCCAAATGAACATTATACATGAAGCACTTAAAAAACAATTAACATTCTAATTTGAAGGTTATATAAAATGGTGAAGAGCACTAACATGCAGCTAGTTGGATCATCTTTTGATAACAGAAATGTATGATACACATGAAGCCAAAGTTTTACGGCCACTACTTGGATAAAACCTTGTGTGATCTCCTCCCCCCCACTCTATCTCCCTACCTTGGAACAGAAACTTCTCCATCATCATGTATGTTTTTTTAAATGATGAACAGTAGTCTGTTTTCAAGCTGCTGAAGTAGATGCCTATTTGGTTTCTCATCGGCTTGGTCATGAATACTGTAGTAGATTAGTGACTGCCAGATACCTCACTGTGTTTACTGACTGGGTAAATAAGGATGGCATGCCACCTTTTCCCCCCTTAGCTCTTTCCAGTAACGCTTGAAGTGTGAGATAGTTAGAATTCTATCAACCATCTTGAAAGTACAAGGAAGAGTGTCACTGTATGGAATCTAGAGCTGGAAACTAGACCGAGTCTGGATCTTTGATGATGTGGCGGGACCCCATAACCTCTCGACTTAAACCATACGCTGTTGAAACCATTCTTAGTGGTTTCTGTTTCCTGTGCAATTTCTAACTCTTCACAAAACCAATGTTAGGCTGATTAGAAATATTGGAGAGTTCAAAATCAAAGACAGCTTAGCCAATAATTTGGGAAATATTCTGCAAAGTAAATTTCATGGAAGCAAACTTATTACAAGGTTTTAAAATTGAATTTTTGTGTATGAATCTGAAGTGACTCTTTTTCTTCTGTATACTTTATTAGTCCCTAATTTTCTAAATGAGTATTAGTAACATTAGGTTGTAATAGGACTTCACTGAGTATATTAGCTATTCCCCAAGTTATCAGATAAAGACATTTAAAATATGGATACATTCATAATGGTACTAAGTTGTGAAACACTGTGGTTTCATTTGTACCTGGTTACAACCAAAACATGGAATTTTTACTCCTCACTCACTCACACAAAAAAATTCTTCTGCTCCCAAGTCAATTATATTTTGGCTTTCCCTCTGTTTTTAAGGAAGTGACTTAATACATCATGGTTCTTATTAGATGAGAGAGGCTTTATAAATTAAAATTTAGACATGAGAATAATTTGAGGTTAAGTAGCATATATTTCATAGAGGACAGATCTAGGCAGATAGAAAATGTTGATACATATCTATATGTACTATATGGAATGACAGAAGAGCAAAATCAGATGGAATGCTTTTGTAAAAATATATAGTTAGGATAGCTAGATAAGTATTTTATATTTGTGTTGAAAGTTTCAGGAAATGGAAGGTTCAGTGATGGAAGGCTCAGGAAAATGGGAAGAATAGTTGTGTCTCAAATATGTGCCTTCAAATGATTTTTGCTTTAGGTGTGTGGTCTTTTATTATATTCATCACAAAAGTGGGCATGTAGTACTTTAAGAGCTATTTTAAAGTAATTATATTAAAAGATAATTCATGACATTAAAAATACTCTCTGTGTATTATGGTATAACTTGATAAAATGCAGTGAATGAATAGCATGAATTTCAATGCAGCAAACATCATTTCCATGAAAAAATACTAAACTAAATAAGCAGTGAAATATTCATAGCACTATCATCTGTGCTTGAAGGCAGATTATATTTTTTTGTTGTATAAAAAGTTTTTATTTTCAGTTTCCTATTTCTTTATTTTTGAAATCCAATGTGCACTTAAACTATGAGGAAAATAGTAAATAGGTACTTAAAGTATAAAATATTAGGTAGTTATTGGGGAATAAAAGACAACATACCTTATTTGAATCACAAACAGTTCCATCTCTCACCCACATTTTTGTGCTGTCTTTATCATTATATGGAAACTCCAGCGTGACACAGCAATGTCCACTCACGTTGATATAAGTAGCAGAGGCATTTGGAATATTAATTATAGGCTCGCTTGTATATTCACATATTAATTTTCCACACTTCAGATCCCTATAATTTGCCAATAAATGAAAACCATGTTTTCAATAAAGATAAATATTAGAATATTATTTCTAAGGCAAAAATAAATATTTAAATAAAGCGCTGAAGACGTGCAAAAAGATGTATGCAATAATTGCAAAACACCAAAAATTATGAGGGCCTTGCCTGCATTATTAATAACTGAACATTTTAATAATGATAATAATCTTGAACTACTTCTTAGGTAGCCTGATCACTTTTTTGGGTAGTTATTCCTTCATTCTTTTTTGTTTTTTAAACATAATCAATCCCAAGCTTATCCAATCCTAAAAAAAATTGTCAAGTTTATCTTATTACCAATCTTATTGGATTACCTTTTCAGCATTATGGGCAAAAAAAGTATTAAAATAAAACCACGAAGATTATTATCATGCAGTGCTGTAAACCACAGGAGAAAAATCACAAGGAAGTAACCAGAAAATTAAAAAGCATTAACAACAGAAGAAGAATAATATGACTTTCACCACAACTATGGAAACCTGAAGATTACTGAATGATGGATTCAAAGGAGAAAGAGTCTACTGTCTTCCCACTCTATATGCAGAGAAAATATCTTTCCAAATGAAATACAACATGTGCAGGCAATAATTAAGAAAATGCATCACCAGCAGTTCTGGACTAAAGAAAATGTAAACTGGGTTGTTCCCATTGAAAGGATTTATCCCAGATGGATCTTGTAGAAGCACAAAGTACATACATCTTTTACCAGAGTGAGGAACTGCCTTTCTACTCCTAGTTGGATGAAGAGTCTGTATCACGAGTAGTGCTAGACAACATGGTAAATCAGGCATAAAATGAAGAAAATTGTATAGATAAACCTAAATGCGGGAGCTATGAGAGACAAAAATATAGATAAAACATCTGCCCACCCAATTAAATATAAAACTGAAACAAATTTGTCAAAACAATAATTTCAGGGCTATGAAAACTGATCAAAAGCAAACAGAAGATTGAGAAGCATTTATGAAAAGCTGCTATAAAATCAAGAATAGTGGGAGGCTGGGTCTTCTTGCTGAGTCTACTCCCATGCCCTCTTCCAGGTCAGCCACTGCTGTCACTTTACCAGGGCAGTGCTGGCCATAAACACCAGTAAATGCAATGGCAGATGGGTGGTTCTTATTTTGGCGCAGAAGGCAAAAAAGGAGTCACACCCTTCAGCACTCTCAGTAAAAGTAGCAACTCTGTGGGAATTAATATAAAACCAGAAGCACTGTAAGCCCGAGGTCAAGGTACCTATTGGGATCAGTGACAGACCAGCCAGACATTAAAGGCACAATCCTGGGAACGCCAGTTCCATAAAGGGTGGTGATGAATTCTCCTTGTATCACATTCCTAGCTGACGTGCATGTGCTAGAGAGACTTCAGAAGAATTAACAACAGAGGAAACGTCAAATTTGCCTAAATCTAAATGTGCTCCCTACTTTGAAATCAGACCCAGCGCAAAGACACGAGCACACTAAAAGACTGAGGCTTGCCCGCACTAAAAGACTGAGGCTTGCCCGAACGCTAGCAAGGGTCCGCTTCCCATGCCCTCCCACTACACTGATGAGTCTCCAGAATGTATAAAGAACTCATACAACTCAACACCAAACCAATCTTATTTTTAAAAAGGGCAGAGTACCTGAATAGACATTTCTCCAAAGACATACAAATGACCAACAGACATATTAAAAGATGCTTAACATCACTGATCCTCAGGGAAATGCAGATCAAAACACAATGAGACATCCCTCACACAGTCAGAATGGCTAGTATCAAAAAGGTAAGAAACAGCAAGCACTGGCAATATTCATGCACTGTTGGTGGGAATATAAATTGCTGCAGCCACTATGGAAATAATATAGAAGTTCCTCAAAATATTAAAAACAGAAATAACATACGACCCAGTAATTTAACTTCTGGGTATTTACCCAAAGAAAATAAAATCACTGATTTGAAAATACATATGTGTACCCCTATGTTTATTGCAGCTTTATTTGCAATAGTTAGACATGGAATTAACTGAAGTGTCCATCAATAGATAAATGTATTTTTAAAAAGTAGTACATGTATGTGATGGAATATTACATAGCCATACAAAAGAAAGAAATATTGCCATTTGCAACAACATGGATGGGCCTATGGTATATTATGCTGGATGAAATAAGTCACAGAGAAAGACAAAAACATATGATTTCATTTGTACATGTAATCTAAAAAATAAAAGCCAAATGAACAACAACAAAAATAGACTCATAAATACAGAGAACAAAGTGGTGGTTGCCATGAGCAGGGGGTGGTGGAGGGACAGACAAAATAGGGGAAGGGGATCAAGACATACAAACTTCCAATTATAAAATAAAATAAGTCACAGGGATGGAGAGTACAGCATCGGGAATATGGTCAATAATATTGTAACATCTGTGTATCCTGACAGGTGGCAACCACACACAGTGCAGTGAGCAATTTGTAATGTATATAATTATCAAATCATCATGTTGTCTGCCTACAACCACTGTGTTGCATATCAAACTTTACTTCAGTCACAGTAAAAATAATGGAGTTAGAAAATCATAAATAGATTTAAAACTAGCGGGTTAAAGTTTGAAGAGGGACAAAACACGTCCATAGTCTCTATATAATTTTTACCTAAAATGTCCACTATTGAGAGAAAAGGGCAAGTACCTTTTTTAAAGCTGCATGTGAGGGTATAGAATCACTTCAGTGGTGAGCATGCCAAATGCATAACATGAAGCTAACTATGGAAAAAATCCAGCAGACCCAAATTGAAGGAAATTCTCCAAAATAATAGCCTGAGGCATAAAAAAACAAAAGCAAGGAAAAGAAAGAAGTGAAAACAAAAGAAATGTTCTAGATTAAAGTTTAGAAGTACATTATGACTAGATGCAAATAGGTGACCCTTGATTTGATCCTTAACAAGGCAAAATACCTATAAATGCTTTACTGAGTCAACTAATGATGTTTTAATATGAAGTATGTTTGGTAGCTATGATATAGCTATAAGAAAATATCTTTAATCTCAAGAAAGACAAAATGATTTATTTAGGGTTAAAGGAGTAGTTTCTGATTTTCATTCCAATGGTTTAGGAAATCTTTTGAAGAGATAAGTGGGGGAGAGTCAGAAGAGCAAAAGGATAAAGCCAATGGGCAAAATGTAAACAATTAGTAAATCCAGGTAAAGGGGTCCTTGTATTAGTCATGCAAACTAGACATATTTTACAGAATTTTTAATTTTACTACCAAACTTCTGCGATCACATATAAAATAATATCAAAGATATTGCAATAATATTCTAGTTCTAATATACACATACTAATGATATTATTTAATAATTAACATTTATATAGTGCATATTATGTGCAGTCCCATACCAAGTATTTTTCATAGAGTATCTCAAATTCACACTGGCAGCAGCCCAATGAGGCTGGTGGAATTTGTATTTGTCTTTTACACATCAGAAAATAAAAGCACGTCCAAGAGCACACAAGAAGGTAGACAGTGGGGTTTGGGTTGGAACCCAAGATTTCTAGCCATGTTCTTAAACAAACTGCTTTACTTCCTGGATACTAAAAATTAGACACATTCATTTCATCACTGTAAGACTGGTCATTTTTTTATAAAATGAAGTGACAGCATGCAACAAAGAAATGATCAGTCCTTCTAACTAATGGGTAATTAATGTACCTATATGTAAATTAAATCCTCTGTGGTAAGGTACAAAGGATAATTTGGATATGTAAGAAAGAGAAGTACAGATATTCTGTATTTAAGATATTCGTAATTTGATTAAATATAATCTTACTTCGTGGTCAGGTAATACTTTGATTACATACAAACAATTATCTGTTGGCATTTGTTAATTTACAGGAATAAATAAACTTTCTCAGATTTCTCAAAACGTACTTAGGTTTACGCTTAGTGTGTCCTGAAGCACTTGAACCACAGTTCCCGGATCCATCAGTTCCAGTGTTCATGTGATTATAGCACTCGGGAGGACGAAAAGCTGAACTTAAAAAAAAAATATGTGGTTGGTCATATTGAATTTAATTCAGAAGAATTACTGAATACATTTAAAATTCTGAAATGCTTTAAAATATATACTAGGTTTAAGATCACAGAAAACCACTTCAATAGAATATTTAAAACTTGAAAGCATTCTCATCTACTATCCAGAAAGGTATCTTAGAATTAACTATGACAGGCAGTTTATCTTCTAATTCTTAGTAAGTCTAAAAATACATATCTATAAGTATATAAGAAATGTTAAAAAAATGTTAAAAACTTATTGGTCAGTAATCTTTTTTTGCATAGATGTCTTTTTAGGTCAAACCATTAAACTAATACCTTGTTTTTTTCATCATAATTTGCCCAGATCAATAAATCTCATATTCACGATCCAATGAATACACATAATGTATTTAATTCTCATAAGATTCAACTTACTTAAGAGCATTAATCATAACCTCCATCAGTTCTACTTTAATTGAAGGATTAAGACTTTGATGGGGAGATTTAACCACTGCATAGTGATGCCTAAGAAAAATGGTACAGCCCCAGTGAGCACATCAGGATCTCAGCTGAAACTCCTAGAAGCAGTAGTGAACTAAAATAAGCAGTTGATTTTTGTCCCAGAGGTCACTGCAAACCTGGTTGTGGGTAAGAAGTCAAAATTACAAGCTTAGCAAGGGAAGCAGGCTGCTGCTGGTGAACATAAAAATAAGCCGAAGTTGGAGGATTTTTCATAGCTCTAGTAGCAAAATAGAGGCTCAAAGAGCCTAAACATATACTTTATTACACCCATCAAGGTTTTGTTACTTTTTAAACATGTGAAGAGCAGGCGATTAAAATATAAAGACATGACTTCCATAAAGAACTGTAGATTTTTCTGCAGTTTGTTGTGGTTACATATTTGCCAGGGAAAGAGGTCTCAGTAAATATACCAACTCTTTGTTGGAAACCCTGAGAGT